TGCTCACAAGTTGAATAAACATCCAGGATTGTTTCATCATTTTCATTCAAAACCAATATTTGAGTCAAAATGAGAAAGTTGTTTGTGCTGTCTGATGAAGAAGAAGCAAAATAAAGTGCAGTTTTGATGTAGATGATGTTGTATACAAACTAGAAGAGGAAGATAGTAGGATCTCTGTATCATGCTTTGTCACTTTGTACCATGTAATTCTTTCTATTTCCACCAGGGGGTGTTTTCAGAGGTGGTAGGTGGTAAAAGAAGAGGTCAGCAGGAAGATGGCGAAGAGCGACCAAAGACCAAGAAAAAGAGGCAGTCAGGCAAAGATGAAGAGTATTATATCCCTTACAGACCTAAAGACTTTGACTCTGAGAGAGGGTGAGGCATTAAACTGTTGCATCTGTTTCTTTAAAAAATGTGAATGGCTTTGTGTTTTATGCTGTTTTCCTGTGTTATGCGTCGACAGGTTGAGTCTCGGTGGAGAGGGCAGTGCTTTTGAACAGCAGGCCTCTTCAGCTGTCCTTGATCTCATGGGAGATGAAGGCGATCGCCTTAACCAGCAGAAGAAAATGATGAAATGGTACAAATTTCCCTATGTTTGACTCAGTATCCACCAAATGGTCATTTCAAACTATAATTTAAAGTCTTTTTTCCCCCTTCTTTTTTTAGGGACCGTAAGAGGAAGCGTTTTGTGAGAGAAACGGGAAAAGAAGACCAGAAGAAGAAGATCAAAACAGACAGCGGTCAGGTTATCAGTAACAAGAAGAACAGGAAGAAACTTGGTATCCCTTTCCAACAAAAAGCTTCTCCTGCTGTGCTGCTCATCAATGGAACCTCTCATCTTCCTCTACTCCATCTATGACAATAATTAAAGCTGTTACTGTGATAATGTATGTATCCACTTGAACAACATGTCAGTTATGAGCGAAGTGGGAAGGAAAAAAAATACAAGATTGAATGATAACAGGAGGATCTGGATCAGATGGAGAAACAGGCGGAGGAGGCAGGAGCCAGCAAGAGGTAGGAAGCATCAAAATGAATAGCACAAACATGTTGTTAAATATAGAACATCAGCCACCATGTTTTAACTCAACTCTAAAGGTAAATACTTCAAGTCCCTCTTCCAGCCTTGCGAGCTATAACCTCCAACCTCTTTGTTGTGTCGTGCCTCTCCCAGGTCGTGGCCGTGGCCGACGAGGTCCAAACGTACAGAGCTCCGGTGACCACAAAGCACGCTCGGAGCTGAAAACAAAGGATCAGATCATGAAGCAGCGCAAGAAAAAGCAGAAGCACCAGTTCCTGCAGGGCGGGGGGATGAGGAAGCTCCGCTCCAAGAACAAAAAGTGGCTCGGAGAAGTTAAAAAGTCAGGTTTTGGAAGGGGTGGCCATAAGAAAGGCAAGCTGAGGAAGAAACTGGGAGGAGGACAGAGGGTTGATGGTGTGGAGGACATCACGAGGAACTGGGTGATAAGCGTCAGAATCATCTGAGAACATCACCAAAGATTTTCCTGGCGCTTGTGTGACTGTAGATTAAGGAGAAAATCATTTGTGAATCTTTACACTGCAGAAATGCACGTCACTTCTTCCTTGATGGCCTGCTGAACTCTGCGTTTGCCACAGAGTTATGTTTAATTATGATCCACTAACCTGGATTTACTACTTGTAAGCATGTTGGCAGTCTAATAAAAGTGTTTTGGAGTACTGAAATATGTCTTATCAAAATGGTAAAATACAGATATTAAATATTGTGTGCTTAATTTGCAGTTAGTTTCAAAAATCGTCTCGCCCATCTTTTCTTAAAATAAGAGGTGCTCTATAAAAATGACATTAAATTCTGTAAACGTGCTCTATTTGCAATTATTTATCATTACTGTTGTCCAAGTGGTCTCATTTCAAAGTTGAAAGCGAGCATCGGAACGGGCAAGAAAGGCGACTTTTAATTGACTTTGAATGTGTTGTGGTTACTGATATCAGATGGGCTGGGTTGAGAAACTGGCTTAGAATTCCTCTTGCCTTCAGCATGGCCACGCCCCTCTGACTTCTGCAATCAACAAGGAATTTTTACCCAGGGAAATGTTTATTTCGCTTTTCAGTTTGGACTGTTCTCTGTAAATTCCTGAGAAAATTTGAGAAGATCAGGAGTGTCTGAAAAACGTAAAACAGCCCATCAGTCACCAACAGCAATGCTGCCTTCAAAGTCACTTAAATCACCCTTTTTTTTTCTGGCATGTGATTGGCTGATTAGATATTTGCATTCACAAGCAGCTGAATAGGTTAGTGCAGGGGTCAGCAACCTGCGGCTCTTTAGTCCTTTTAGTGCGGCTCTGCGTGGTTTGGGAAAATAAATTTTTTTTTAAGTAATTAGCTGAAGTGTATTTTATTTATGTTAGTTCTTTTTTAACTTGTAGTTCTAAATTGGAAGATTACTGTGATATTGAAATATAAATATAAAATTATATTCTATTAGTTTTTGAACGCTCAAAATAAGCGTCACACTTGCGGAAGCCGATATACCCGCTGAAACGCCGTGCATTTATCGAGACTTTCAACCCCAGGTAGGCTAATTATCAATCTTCGGATCCACATTATGTCAGCAGCTCCACCGTGAACTATGTTAAAAACAAACACCGCTCACGCCTCACAGATGACAGCTTACAGTCCTGCGTAAAGATGAAAGTGACTTCATACAGCTCCGATTTGCAGACGCTGTGCGCAGAGATTCAGGAGCAGAAGTCCCATTGTAAACATATCACGGCAGACCCAACGATGTTTCCATGAACACGCTTTACAGCTTCTCTTTATTGACCACTTTTCACACACGGTTGCTGTATGCATACAGCCGGTGTTAAAGCTCACAGCCCGACACATACCAACACAACAGCATAGAGAGCACAGACGTTAAGGCGCCGAGGCGTGATCGCGGGTGCCGCTCAGGTGCGTCCGCCTCCCCTGCAGCGGCGCTGCAGACCACGCCCCGCCACACACATTAACCAGGTAAAATACATATTGTCAGGGTTCCTGGGTCGGTGACCCAGTGTTTTCAGTTTTGTTCATGTTCATATATATATATATAGCATATAGTAAACAATGAATCTGTAAACGACAGCTGTTGACATTTTTAAAAATGAATGAAAAAGCATATTTAAATAATCAACATACATGATTTAAATATAAACACACACGTGACAAGAGACAGAACGTGTAGAAGATATATGCAGAAAGAGCTTTCAGTGGTCAGCTGATAACATGATATCTAAAAAATACATAGCTCATTTTCCTGTCTGTTAGTTGGACATGCTAACCTGTTAACAAGCTCCTATATTCACCCATACAGTTTGTAGATCATTTTGCTAAAATAGGTAAAATCTCCACTCTTTCAGGGCACTAATAGGCTAAAGGCATATTACAAAAGGTCATTCATGTATTCACAGATTCTCTGTAGTTATTCTGCTGCTCATTCACCTGTAAAAACCACACCAATCATTATTTCAACAGCCTTTTTATTTTGGAACAAAAGCATTTGACGATATGACTTACAGGACGTTACCAAATTCATGAAGCTATATTTGTGAGTTTATTTATCAATATCAGTTTAATGTAAACAGACTGATGTAGTAATAGACAGTAAAATGTTGGTGCGTGTGTAATATATGAGCGTTTATGTTTCTCTACATGGGTAAAAGTACTCCATGTCGCCCTCTGGTGGTAGCAACCAACTATGAAAAGAATGGATGTTGGATCTTAACTAAATGATAAAAAGTTTTATTACTTTGTATTACTTTCTTTAGTTTGGTAAAATTTACAGTTTTAATCCCGTAAAAAAATAAATCACTATCATAGAGAGGGATATTAGTAATTCGTTTGTTAATAACACTTTGTTTGTGTTTGCTAATGTTTCGACAGGAAAATGGTTTTCTACAAAGTTGTTTCATGTACAGAGTAACACACACACACACACACACACACACACACACACACACACACACACACACACACACACACACACACACGTATGACTTTGCCGGTTTCAGCTGAAACAATTTCAGTGTTTCAAACCATGTTCCAGGATTTTTCCTTCACCGTTTATGAGGTTTCAAGAAGAAGATAAACGACAGATATGAATGTTTGAAAAAGTTATAGATGAAAAGATGAAAAATACTCAAAGGATAAATTCAATTGTTTATTGTTTTATGAATAAGTTGAAAAAGAAAAAGTTAAACAAGTAAATAAAGAAACAAGGTAAAATGAAGTAAGAACAAAACGTCAACAAGTAAATAATGAAACAAGGTAAAATGAAGTAAGAACAAAACGTAAACAAGTAAATAATGAAACAAGGTAAAATGAAGTAAGAACAAAACGTTAAGAAGTAAATAATGAAACAAGGTAAAATGAAGTAAGAACAAAAGTTAAGTAAATAATGAAACAAGGTAAAATGAAGTAAGAACAAAAAGGTAAGTAAATATTGAAACAAGGTAGAGGAGAGAAAACCCCAACAATCCCCTCTGAGCACGCACTAGGCGACAGTGGGGAGGAAAAACTGCCTTTAAACGGGCAGAAACCTCCGGCAGAACCAGGCTCAGGAGGGGACAGTCAACTGCCGGGACTGGTTGGGGAGGTGAACAGAGGTGGAGCAAGACGAGGCTACACCTGCTGAGGAAGCAGTAGAGTTCCTCCTCCAGGGCCAGCGGAAGCGTTTGTTCTTCTTTTTCATGCAGTTTTCTACAAGAGCTTTTTTTCCAGGATGAGGGTTCTCAACTCATCGATGGTTTCTTTGTTTTGTTTCTCAAGCTTCTTGCACGTTTTCTCCACCTCTTCCAACGTTGCTTGTTTTTCTTCAAGCTTTTCCCTGAGCTCTTTGGATGTTTCCTCCTGCATTATCTTGTCCTTGTGCATGTCTGCGTTTCTTTGTTGTACTTCTTTGTACATGTCTTGTAGCTCCTCATTTCTTTTGTGGATATCTTGGAGCGTACGCTGCAGGTCGTCATGTATGTTGTCTTGTTCTTGCTTTTGCGCCTGCATTTCAGTGTGTTTGCGCTTCAAGTTGTTGTATTCCAACAATATCCCCTTAGTGAGCTCGGAGTTGTTTCTCGCCATTTGCTCCATCCTTTTCTGCATGTGCGAGCATTGTTTGTCCAGTTTTTCTTTTTCCCCTTCTAGTTGCTTTTTCTCGTGAAGAAGGTCTTTATTTTGGCGCAGAGTATCATCCACCTTCTCTTTCAGCATTCTGTATTTTTCCTCCGTGACTTTGAGTTTGTGCTCCATGTCTCTTTGCTTTTTCTCCTGTTCTTCCTTCTGTTGGAGGATTTCTTCATTTTTTTTCACAGCTTCATCGAAGTTTGTTTGGAGCAGCCGATTCATTTGGTCCATATATTGGAGATCCCATTCTGTCTTCTCAACAGTAGCTTTGCTGTCTTTAAGCTGGTTGGACATCTCCTTTAGTTCCACGCTCTTTTGCTTGTTTTCCTTAATTAGGAAGACAACTGCTCTCGGGCTTGTCCAAACTTGATTCCCCAACCCTCATTAATAATATTTATGTCGGGCTGGCGTTTTTGTCTTTCTTCCAGGTTCTTATTTTGCGCTTCCATCTGTCTACACTTCTCCTCCAGTTGAAGTTTCTCTTCTTCAATCTGTTGAATTTTATTCTGGAGATGGTAGTTTTCCTTCTTACTGTCATGTAATGCCCTTTGGACGGCTAAGAGGTCATTTGGGGAAATTGGCCGGCCACGACAGGAAGGAGAAGCGGCGTAATCTTTTTGCCTTGGTTGGTGTCTTGTTGGATACATGTTGAAGGTTGTACACGACAACTCTGAAAAGGTTTCCAAAAGTTTCTGTGGTGAACGTGTGAAGGCTGCAAACACAAATGCTGCGAAGACACGAACTAAAAAACTGCTGTGTGTCACCCCTGTTTAAGGAAAAACTTCAAAGGATCGTGTAGTGACATCATAACTCCGTGAGCCAATGAGATTGTCATGTGACATTTTGGAATGGGGATATTTTTTTTTAAACCGTTTTCAAATTTAACTTAATATTTGACTGTTTCTTAACTGACCTGTTTAGCTGATTAAGAAATGAATTGAAACGAGCATCACTAACGTTATATAACAGACAACAGAAAAAAAACAGTTTTTTTTCTAAGTAATAGAGGTATAATACATTTTTTAAATTTTTTTTTAAATTATCCTACTTTTTATAAGAGGGAACATTATTTAAAGAATATGTATTTAATTGGAAAACTCTCTATTCGTCTAAAGGCTATAACAAGAAAGGTGAGCTTCCTGCTCAAAAATGAAATGACCAAAATAAATGGAGCATTTCTCTGCAATTACAAACTCTGTGTAAACAATCTTGGTTTCAAAATAAGGCTAATGCTGGTGAGATGTCATCACAGGTGTAAATATTACTGCAGATGTTACTATGTCAAAGTTTCACAACTGTCTTATGTTTATTTATGTAGGCAAGACCTACTTTTCACCTTTTTGCTTTGCTATATGTTCTTGAGTGT